GTGTGTGTGTGTGTGTGTGTGTGTGTGTGTGTGTGTGTGTGTGTGTGTGTTTGGGCTTAGCCGCAACATCGTTTATCTTCGGGGGTCATCATCTTATAATATTGGCCTTTCCGACATGCAATAAATTGCGCTCTGGCAAACAACATGTCGGTCGGTCTAACGGACTAACGGCCAGCAGCTCCTTGTTGCAAGTGGCATGCCTTGGCTTAACGGCAAATTGCGCATACGCACCGTGCGGCCAGTGCAAACAAACAGAGCTCGACAACAAAAGCGAATGTCGGCCATATTTGAATAGCCTCTGTGTGCGAGCCTCTCTCTGTCTCTCTGTCTGTCTGTCTGCCTTGGTCTGAAGTGTAGAAAACTAAAATTTAGCTCGGGCTCTAAATAAGGCACAAATACACACACACACACACACAGACACAGGCACAACATGTGGCTGGCCATGGCCAACAATTTGTCCAGTTCCAGCAGGAGGCTAAACGCAAGGCAATGTTCATGTGAAGCTGACATACAAAAGCCGAAATGCTTTTACTCTGTTTCCGCCCTAACAGATAGTCTCACTGCATGTGTGTGCGTGTGCTTGAGTCCATATATGTATGTGTATGTGTGTGTGAGCGTGTTTCTATTTAGTTTAGAACTAAACCGGAAATTGAGGCGTTTTGTGTTTTGCTTGTTTTTGTTAGATTGTTGTTATTTTAGTTAACAATTTATTTAGTTACAGCGCAATCACACACAGACACACACACACACTCGCATACACTCGCACACACACTGTAACAATTTATATGATCTTGTGAATTATTTGTGTTGCATGTTGCATTGTTCAAGTGGATGGCCACACTTTAAACGCAACTGCAGTCAGCTTATAGTGAATACCTTTAGCAACACCAACGAAAACCTCAGCCGGTGCGGCTGCTGCTGCTGCTGCTCGTCTTCTCCCCGTCTCCTCCTCGCCTAACTCTTATTAATTTCCTGCTCCGAGTCAGAAATCTTTTAGCCAAGCGCATCATTTTCATGTGGTTTCATGTGGTTAGCTATTATAATATAAATACTTTCTAAACGTTGCCACGCCTCAAGTTTTCAGACTCTGTGGCTGCGAGCTTAATGTTGTATCATCATTTGAGGTTTTCGCTTGAACCAAATAAACACATATGTGGGTTGCTCCAGTTGATAATATGGTTAAATAAACTCAATTTGAATAGATAAATATCGATTAATTATCGTTATGTTGGCTGAGCTAATAAATATAAGAGTTGCAATTCTAGTGAATTGAATTCAAATATCTTGAGATTTATTTCTAGTATAAAAATTGAGTATTTTTATAAGATTTCATTTAATTTATTTATCAATAAATAGAAATTATTTCATTTATTTTTCATTTTAAATAAATAACTAAAAAATAATAATTTTATTACTTTCAATAAACAGAAATTATTTTAATTAAATAAATAATTTAATAATATTTAATAATTTTTTTAAATAATAATAAAAATATTTTCTTTTTAATAATAATAATTTTAATTAAAACTTTTAAATAATGATAACTATAAAATTAATTTTAATTTAAACTGTTTAATACTATTACCTAAATAAATATTTTTAGTTTCAGTTGCTTTAATGCAATTTTAACAAACTAAAATATTTTCTGGTATAATAATGCGTTTTCATTGCATAAATATTTACTCTAGATAAGTAACTGCATAATGCACTGACTTCTTGCCATCTCTAATACTGCAAAAACCAAGTTGGTTAAGCAATTTTACACAATTTGAATTTGAATAGACAATGATTTTAATAAGAGCTTATATATAAAGTTGGGAATGCTGCAGCTGCATTCGAGAGACCAAAACTCGGGCTGGCTGCCATTTTCTGGCTGCCTTTAAGTAACTCGCAGACCAAAAGAAGCCAAGCTACACATAACTTGCTTGCACACACGCACACACACACATACACACATACACAACTAGTCATGCACACTCACACAGAGACCACGAATTATGTTTTCCGTTGCTTTGGCTCTCGGCTACGCTTCGTAGTGCACGCTAAGGCCAGCAGGTGGCGCTAGTTTATTTATATGCCTTGGCGAATGTGAATGCGATTCTGATTGTATGTGTATCTGTGTGTGTGTGTTGCATAACACACTCTCTGCCTTGCCTGCTGCGTCGTCTGCCGCAGCCTTTCACTGCTGCTTGGCGTGTTGATGTTGTTGAACTCATTGCAAATAAATACGCTTTTTGAATGCGCATGTAAATGACTTCATAAGCATTTTATTACCACTAAGTTTCAGCGAGTGTCTGCACACGAGTAAGAAAGAGAGAGGGGGAAAGAGTGAGGGAGAGAGAGGCTTGTGTGTGTACTGAAATCAATTTCTCTTAACATCTACCTCTCCCTCTCTCTCCCGCTCTCTCTCTCTCTCTGTCTGTCTGTCTCCCACCATCTTTGCCCTCGCATAGGCCATCAATAATGAGCGCTATTTCGCCTTCATTTTCAGCGCGGTTTTCGCTCTTGACTAAAATACTCGATGCCCGCATATCGAAATTGTTGTTTTAATTTTTAATGAGCACCATTCGCGGAAGTCATACATCATTAGTAGCAAATCCGGACAACTTCAATTTCAATTTCAATATACGAGCCTCCCTGTCACACACACACACACATACACAGAGTGAAACCATGCTGCAGCGGCACGTGATGCTTGACGAGGCGCGCACAGACACAAAACACAGAAAATACATAAATTTCAACAAGTTCGACCTGCTCTAGGCACACTTGATCGACTAGCAGTTATGCTGTAAATATCATATAAATACTGGCATCAATTGTTTATAGAACCAAAGCTCAGCAATATCTATAGTCCTTGTCTTAAAAGCTTAAATAAAAAAATAAAAAATAAATAAAAAAAAAAAGTTTTTATATATTATATTTTTTATATTATTTATAATATTTTGAGCCTTGAGTTATTTGTATTTTATGTTTTGTTTTATTTATTTTATCTCTATGGAGAGTATTTTGATGTAGTATTTTATATATCTTGTGAATAGATAAAGTAGCTCTCATATTCATTTTAGAGGTGAGCCAGATAAATACTTAAAGTCAATGGCAGAATTCGATATTTATCGATTTCGAAAAGAAAATTGAACAATTTTGATAAAAGCATTGGTAAATTATTTATTGAAAAAGATGAAGATCGTGTAAAATGTTTATAGATTAATTATGTATAGATTTTTTTTATTAATATAATTATAAATTTAGTTAAACAATAACATAGCTATCAGCAATGTGAACTAGATCGATTACAAGATCGATTAACATAGCCAAGCATGCATACTTAAATTTCTTGATATTCTTTCCCATTCATAAAAGTCTTCAACATGCTGTGTTTGTATATATTCCTCAAATAGCTAAACATATATTTTCTTACTACTACAAATCTCTATTAATAACGAGTCGTATACATATATGCAAAATATAAATATATATACATTTTATATAAATGCGCCTTCAAATATATCTAATTCTATTTATGTTTTCTGCACAACAGTCTATGGCCTGAACATGCTTTTTTTAGCCACACTAAATGGGCACAGGGTATAAAAAGGAATCACAATTAATGAGTTCGTTGAATGCGCTCGGGTGTCTCTCTGTCTGTCCGTCCGTCTGTCCTCCCGTCTGTCTGTCAGTCCGTCTCGGAGCTCTTCCGTGCTGTCTCTTCCTGCCAGGCAGTCAGGGGCTGGCTGACTGCTGAAAGCCGCTTTTCATGCCCTTTGCGCTCTTCCCTTTTGCCGTTTTGGCATATCGAGTGCCTGGCATATGATTGCAAATGCCGCACATTAGCGGATATCAAGTGGGTGTTACCGAGTGTATGTGTCGTCGAGCACCCACACACAGATAAAGAGAGCCTATGTGTGTGTGTGGGTGTATGTTGTTGTTGTTGTTGTTGTGTCTGATGTGCGCGCTGTGCGCGAGTCCATGCCAAATTGAATTTCTAGCCTTTTAGATCTTTTCAAATGCCTTGTAATTGAGTCATTTGAATTCTGACTTTTCAATTTATACAGCGAAATTGTGCTTCTGTGTGTGTGTGTGTATGGGTGTGTGTGTGTGCGTGATTCAATCTTTTCAACTTAATTTAAGTGATTGCCCCGCCGCATTTACCAATTAAGTCGTCAGATGCGATTATTATGCACAATCGAAACTGATTTCTTTGTATTGCAGAGCCGTATGTGGTTGCCTGGAAGCGTGGCATTGCCATCCTGACGGCTGGCTCCGTTAAAGTGACGCCCGATCCGCGCGTTCGCCTCGTCAGCGGCTTCAATCTCCAGATCCGCGACGCCGTGCCACAGGACGCCGGCGATTACATTTGCCAAATTGCAACGATGGAGCCACGCGAAATTACGCACACCGTCGAGATATTGGGTAAGTGGCTGGGGCACCCAGAAAGAAGAGCCAATCAACCCACATTTTTGCAGCTCATATTCTAAAGCTCTCCCCTTGCTATTGTTATGCAAAGCAGCTGAGCGATAGAGAGGGCCACAGGAAGGGAGAGAGAGAGGGGAAGTTTTTGAATTTTTTGGGATAGTTTTATATATTTTTATGGCCAAATTTATGCGGCTCACAAATCACTTGGGTCCATTGTGCACATCATTTGGACACCTCTACTCAATGGGTGTGTGTGTGTGTGTGTGTGTGGCTCGAATTAACATATCCTTAGATCCTGCGCCTGGCCCACTCAAATATGCTAAGTAGCTGAGCTGCAATTTGGCGGCTTTATGACCACAGATTCAATAGGCAGGCCAGCATTGGATAGCCAGTAGAAAAAAAAAAAGGAAGAGAGCAAATCAAAACTAATCTGCCATTTGCTCCCATTCTGCTGCAGTTTCAACAGATTCCCTTTTTTCGGGCAGCGGATGCAAATTTGCCCCAAGCAGCCGCTCCCTAAGGCTCTTAGCTACTTCCTGGCCCAACTACGCACTCTGCCTAACAATTTCGCTCACTCGCTCACTCGCTCTCTCTCTCTCTCTCTCTCTCTCTCTCTCTCTGTCTGTCTGTCTCTTGGCTTTGTCTACTTCCTGGTCCTGGCTGCGCCTGCTCTTTGCTGCGTCTTCTAATCAGCAATGATGAATAATTTGCATATATTTGGGCTTCATACAATTACAATGTTGCCTTTTTATTTGCATACGCCTGGCCACGCCCACACGCCCACACGCGCCCAGCCACAGCTGGCAGTGTTAACACTTTTGGCAACTTTTGGGCGTGTGTGCGGCGCATGCAAATTGTGATACAATTCCCAAAATCTCCAAAGTGTAGAGCCACGATTCAGCCAGGATTCGCAGGCAGCGAGTAGTTCGTAGTTGCCTGGCTGCAGTTGTCCTTAAAGATGTCCTTTAAAACAAAACACGCAGACAGAACATTATACTCCAATTTTGCTGGCCTATAAAAAATGCGTATTTATTTGAGCCAACGCAGAGAACCAAAAAAAAAAAAAAGAAAGGAATCGCCGCAGCCAACTTTTTTCATTTGTCATTGAAACTTGGTCCTGGCGCTGATCCTGCCACTGCCTGCCTGTCCTGGCCTGTCCTGGCTTGTCCCGGCCACAAACAAACATTAAACAAGCACCACGAGCTGCCTGCCCGACGAGCCGCAAAAAAAAGTCGATTATTGAAAAGTTTTGTTTATTTTATGTGTTTATTATGCGCTCCGTTTGCCAAATAATGATCATGGCCAGAAATATTTCGTTTATTGAACTTTGGCAGCGCACGTAAATTGTGATCCCCGTCTCCCGTCTCACCCGCCCAAAGGAAGTGCCCCACTACCAATTGCCGCATTGTTGTCAAAGGAGAAACAAGCAAAAATAATGCCCTGGCGAAGTTTTTATAGGCTCAGCAGCAGCAGCAGCAGACACCCCTAAAAACCAGGAGCACCAGCCCAGTGAAGGCCATCCCCCGCACCGCCCCGCCCCGTCCCACTCTCAATATATGCGCGAATATAAATTTCATAAAGTTTGCCGCGCTCTGGCATTTTGGCTCGCCAGCTTTTACGAGCGTAAATTACTTTCGGCTTGGCCTCCGCACTAAAGATGAAAAAATAATGTGCGCCTGCCAAACTTTTGCACTTGTCCTGACTGCCCGACAGCGACGCCAGCAGCGACGCCGACGGCGGCGTCAACATCAGCGCACTTACAAAGACATTAGCCAAAGAGAATGGCCCGGGCTGGCCGTTCCCTCTATGAGGCAACCGGACCTCACCAACCATAGCTGGCCCCAAGACTGCCCCAAGACTGCAAACTTTGCCAGTTGACAAATCTTTTAATGCGGCCGAAAACAGCAAAACGAGCCGAAAAACACACAAAAACATATCCTGAATATATTTCTGCTCTGGCCCACATTCATGTACATCGTGCCACATGCGACTCCTGCCGCTGTTGCATGTGTGCTGTGGCAGCACAAATTGTGGAAGATGACAAAGTTGATGCTATTTAAATTACTTATTCATTACATTATCTACGTTGGAGTACACACAGAAAGCAGCAGAGCCTAATAGATGGAGCTAAAAAAGACGCTGATTGATTAGAGACAGAGTCTATGCGTTAATAAATCAAGAACTGACTGAGCCGCAACCTAATGTGAATGGCAATAGTTTTGGTAAAATGTATATTAAAGGCGAATAGACTCCTTGCTTTACTTGTATTTATAGTAAAAGGTTTTTTTTTCAGTTTTTATACCCTGAACCCATTGAAAATGGGAAATCAGGGTATAATGGTTTTGTTAAAAGTATGTAACAGGCAGAAGGAGGCGTGGCAGACCCCACAAAGTATATATATTCTTCTATCTCAACTTTTTGCCTTTCTATACACAAATTACACTCTTGTTCTTTTTCTTCCAACTCAACTATCGAAAGCCTTCGATATGGTTTAGTATCGATGGGTGTATATCCATTCATAGTTAACCGTAGTGCTGTTCCCTCTTATCACTTATGAGTCTACTACAATATGAAGCTTAGAATGATTGGCCTAGCAGCTTTGTGGTATCGGGTATCTTACAATCAACTATTTTCCACTTGTTTTCTGTAAGAATTATGCGAGGGTGATTCCATGATTATCGACTTATGTAAATTCTAAATCCATACAGAAAAGACAAAGCATGAGGAGCATAATGAAAATAAAAATGGGTTATTATACAACATGTTTGGGAATCACAGAATCGATATATATTAAGTAAAACCGATCATCTATGGCTGCATTACAAAGTCTTGTTATTCCAATTACTTTGCGGCATGCATAGAGCACATGAAGAGATTGGAAGAGTGTGCTCTAACAACACTCATCATCCACTCAGAGCTTGTTGATCTGATTTGCCAGTCACTGAACGATGCCCCAACACATTGACATGCTTTATCCTCAGTTCATTTGGCTTAAGGGCAGACTTCTTCATCTACAGCTCCCACGTCTGTCAATGCTATCGACTATTAACTCTGTTTGCTCTCACAGCCAATTGCATCGGGCTATTAACGCCTTTGTGTGCTGTTCGAATGCGTTGCAATTGGCTTCAGAAATCAGTTGCATCAGCTGTGGCTTTAAGCTGTCGACTTTTTGAGTTTAATGTGCGTTTGCTGTTGACATTATTTCAATTACGGATTGCGTGTAATAAAACCAATTTGACATCTGTCAGCCAAATGTCCATTAGCTCGACTGCGCCACGCCCACCTGGCGCTCAACCGCAAACGTGCCGCAGAACATTAAGTTATGTGGTTGGCATGTGGGCAGCTATTGCGGTCATTCATGCAGCTCGTCATCTACTCAACTTTATTGTTGTCATCGATGTAATTTATTGATGTAGCTGCCTGGTGACGTCATCCGCATGCGAATGCCACCTCAATTGATATGGCCGACAGTGCTGGACGCATGTAAGCAGCTTAAAGTCATTGACATGCGCCTAATTAGCAGCTCGATCGGCGGCCCAATCGATTGGAAAGCCTAATTACTATTAGCTAGCTGGTTGACTGGCTGACTGGCTGGCTAGCTGCTGGAATAGCTGGAAAATAAAACCACACAATTGTAAATTATAAGGCCAATATGCAAAAGCAATTGTGCGCAAATTCACAGAGTGAGAGAGGGAGCGAGTGAGGAAGAGAGAGAGCAGCAGGGTGAGGCAGGATTTAATTATGTGCAGCAGCAGCAGCAGCAGAAATAATAATAATAGTAATAATAATTGTGCAATACAATAACAATAGAGACAAGACAAAGGGAAGCAGAAAGAAAGGAAAGAAGGGAAAGAAGGGGAAGAGGGCAGAGGAGAGAGCTGCCATACAATATGCACAATAAACAAGAGTCGTAGGTAGTTGGCCCAAGTTGTCTTGGATACTTGAGACAAATTACCAACACAATGGGCAAGCAAATTGCAAGGATATGCCAAAAGAGATATGCCAGGATGCGCCAGGATGTGGCAGGATGCGCCCAGCATGCCAACAATTAAAATGCGAAGCAAAATACACTTTACAAGCACTTGGGATGCCGTTTAAGTTTTAGCACTCAACTTTGCCAGCCAACTACGGATTTAAATTACTTAGCAGATGGCTAAGCAAACTCGCCTCCTCTTACACTCCCACTGCCACGCCTCCTATAAAAACTTGGCTTGTTGCATGCGCCCAGTCCCAATCGAACTATGCAAGTTTTGCAAGCCGCAAAAACCTAAAAGCTAAAGTTGCTGCAGCTCGGCGAAATAAGGCATAAAATCAATACTAAATGCACTGAGCGAAATAGTGGAGTGGAATTTAAATTCCCAGCAAATTAAATTGAAATTCTTGAAATTATTCACAGACGCAAACGAAATATAAAATACGTTTTGACTTTCGCCTAATGAGCTTTCGCTTTGTCTAAGTATTCACTCTCATATATCCCCCTATTTCACGTTAAGCATTAATTGTAACCTGATATTTCAGAGTCTGAGTTCGTTATATTTCCGAGAACAGCTTGTTACGCTCTCGAATTTCCTGGGTATTTGAAATTAATGGCGGAGAGCAGAGTATTCCATCAAGTGGATACAATTTTAACAACAATTTCAGAATTTTTTTGAAATCAATTTGTGTATATTTTACATACCTCAAATTCAATTCTTTTCTATAGTAGAAGGAATTTTAAGCAATTTTATTTCATTCATTTGTATACCTTAAATTTAACTGTATTATATCTTGATGGCAAATATATTTTGAAGAAGGTCAATTTAAAGCTTTATTTATTTATCATTCGATTAAATAATATTTTTAAAATTAATATTGTAAAACTAAAGAACTTTGTTCAAATTTAATGCTGGAATAGTTGCGTTGCTTTAAATCAGTTGAAGGAAACTTAAAAATATCTGTTGAAATATAATTAACTTAAAGGGAAATCTGCTCTAGATTTATGCTTCATTTGTATAACATGTTGCTCATATACTTCTGAATGCCCCTATATCGTTATGTATTACACATACTTTATCAATGAAGCATCTTCTGCCTATTTCACTTGCTGTAATTACAATCAACACATTTCTATGACAAAGAGTTCAATGCATCACAACTCTATTTACTATGGAAGGCAGACTCTACTGCATTACAAAATGTATTACTGCCACTAAATTTTAATCAATATAAAAATATCAAAACGACATATTGTTATTGATGATACCACAAGAACAGAAAATACAACAGCCCTGAGAGACCGAATGCCATAAATCTATTCATATTCATTATAGCTTCAATTTGAATGTTCTTCCAGCTTATTATTAAATTACTTGACATAACCTCAAATCGACAGCCAGTTATTGAAAGTGTTTTATTACCAATTGCCTAACCAGTTTCTACACAGATAGTTTACTCATTTGTTCTTAGCAAAAATTCCAGACATTTATTGAATTCCTGTAAATGTGTTGAATTCCTGTAAATGGCTACATGGCTCAAATGTGAATCCTATTCTTAGAATTTATAAACTCGAAACTTGAATAGTCCCATTTATGTAACATGCGAAATTGCTTAAGCCTTTCATTTAGCATAATTTGATATATTTTTTATCATTATTAATTTTCTCTAAATTTCTGTTTTATTTGAATTTTGTTCCCACTGTAAAGCTACACGAATTTATAGCTGGCTACAGGTCTCTTAGGGATATTTATTTCACAGGCATATTTATTTTATTAAGCTTAAATCCCTTAATTATTTTATATAAAACTAAAATCTACACAAAGATATAAAAGTCGCTTTCAACTTTAAACTAAAATTTAATAAAGCTCAACTCACTCTTTGATTCTCGCTGTGTGTATGGCAAACAAATCTATGCATATATACATATATATACATGTATATATATGTATGCGTGATATAAGTGTGTAAGCATGTATCGGTGAGCTTGTAAATGGCCGCAAGTTCCTTCAAAAGCTGCCGCTGTCGACGTCGCCGTCGCCGTCTGCTGCTGCTGCTGCGGATATTGTGGCTACTGCGGCATCGTTTGCCATGAAAGAGCTCGCTTATTAAAATCGTCGACTGCTCGCCCCACTCTCTGCTCCAAGGCCGCTGCCATGCCCACTTTCAGTTCGCCCATTACCAGTTCCAGTTTCAGTTCCAGCTCCAGCTCCAAAGGCAGGCAGCCGCAAGCCTCGGCAGCTGGCATGGGGTGAGACGGCGATTGGCATCGCATTAGTCGTCATCTGCATGACATTACATGCCGCAATCCACGTATTACATGCCACACACACACACACACACACACACACATTGAAAATGAACTGCTCTATAAGTCGTCAACTGCCTTACAGTTATGACCATGGTAGCCGGGTACTCAGGCGAGTGCTCGTATTTATTGAATTCAATATGCGCTGACGGCTGTCGGGCATAAAGTCTCACCAAAGCGTGAAATTATTGAAAATATATATGTATATCTAGACAGAGAAACAGAGGGAAAGAGCCAAGGAGAGAGAGGGATGCTGTGAGAGAGGGGCAGCAGCCAGGGGCCATAGACATATACATATACATACACATATACATAGTTATAGATACAGATACGAGTGCAGATAGAGATATAGATACCAGGCAGAGCCAGAGTAAGGCAGCGCATCCCTTGCTGAGCAAACAGAAGACGACTTCATTGCGAGCTCTCGGTCCCAGGGCATGTCCTTTTCTATATTTTTGCATTTCCTTCTCCTTCTCCGTCTCCGTCTCCTGCTCGTTCTTCTTTCTTTCTTTTTTGTGGTTTAGTTTTGGCTGTGCGCCACAGTGCCATGATTTATTAGAGTCGCATGCAGATTTGCCAGCACATCGTAGACATATCTACACATACACATATGTAGCTATAGATATATGTATGTGTGTGTGTCTGTCTCTCTCTATATAGCTCTCTTTGTGATCAATTGTAATTTTCTTTCAAATGCAAATATAGTCTGCTTTGTCTCCCGCACATTTCTATTTGTGTTTTTCGTTTTTTTTTTTGGCCAACAATAAATCTCATCGCATCGCATCGCATCGCTCTCTGTTATATTTCGCAAATTCGATACTATTTCAGCCACAAATTGCATCAATCAAATGCATTTTGTCACAGAATTCTGTCGGAATTTCAGCTGCCCCACTTTTAATTCAGACATGTGTAATATAATTCCGGGGGAAAATGTATTTTCCAAATAAATTATGCATGTGTGCGTGTGTGTGTGTGACTAAATAATACCCTGGAATTGCTTGAAATTGTTCAGCAAACATTGTAGCTAGCATAAGTGAATTGACGAGAGGAGAGGCAAGTCAAATGTGTAGTTTCGACTAGCAGCTACCCTGTATAGTAAAAAAAATAACTTTTAATTAAAGACTTATTAATATATTTATATATATATATATTATCATACTCTTCTTCTGTAATAAATGAATTTATTGAATCATAACTTGTGCGGTGCCACTCACGTCTATCATAGCCCACTTGCCTCTTGCTTATTGCTACAGGGTATTTTTGGCCGAAACACATCAAAAGCTGAAAATCAAATAAAATTCATGCATAAACCAGGCTTAACTGTAACCCCCAGCTGCCCAGTGCATATAAATATATTTGTATGCCTATAGCCCTAGGGGGGGCGTGGCACTTGTCGAATGTCCTTGAATGCGACAGCAGACCAAAGCAGACATTGTCGTAATTTTTAGTTTATTTTTGTGGGATTTCTTTTGTTTTCTCATTGTTGTTGCTTTTTTTTTTTGTTTTTTTGTGAAAACAGCTGTAAAATAATTTGGCCACAAAAATATAAATAAATGCGAGGCTCAAATTAAATAAAAGGACCCCCGAGCTGTGCAGGCCAAAGCCAACAATTGGCAGCTGGCTATATCTCCGTCTTATTCTCAGGCTGATTCACATTTGTGTGTGTGTGTGTGTGTGCGTGTAGGGGGTGGGGGTGGTGTGTACTGGCTCCACATGCGTAACCGCCATTTTGCACTCATTCAATTTGCATTTGTGCGCATATTTATTCAAATTGTTTGGCGTCCGTTTTTGGTCCTCTTGATCCTTGGCCAGGGCAGCTGGGCTTTGCATACATTTGCCATACAGCCGGACGCTGGGCACTCATTGTTGTCCAGTCCCACACAAAAGAGAGACAACAACCAGCCAGATACAACTGCCCGTTTCTAATGTGTTTTTCTCAGCTTTCCCATTTCCACTTTTCACATTCCACTTTTAACTTTCTACTTTCTATTTTGCTGCTGCTGTTTCTGTTTATTTTGGTCTGTGTGCAGTGCCACCGAGGATTCATCACATTAGCACCGGCGGACATTTGCAAGTCAAAAAAGGTTCATCAGTGCGCATTGAGTGCTCGGCCTCTGGTAATCCAACGCCAAATGTGACTTGGAGCCGCAAGAATAATATTTTGCCCAATGGTAAGATTTTTGCATAAGTAGGCCAAAAGGATCCCAGCCGACCAGCCAGCTAGCCAGCCAGGACAACGGCGCAAATTAATAGCATCAAGCTTAACAGAGGAACGAAAAAAAATGTGCAAAAGTAAATGAATATAAAGAACTTGAACAATTTCCATAAAAATGAAAAGTCAGGAGACAGCTGAAGTGTCTCTCTGTGCGGCTGGCTGGCCTCTGGTGCTGTGGTCCATTGGTCCTTGGATCCTTGTAATTGCCTCGTGTCATTTCACATCGATGTGCGCATTTCTTTATCCACTTTGATTTTTTTTCTTTTGCAGGCGAGGAGAAGCTCCACTCGCACGTCCTGTCCATCGAGAATGTGGATCGTCATAAGGGCGGCGTCTACATATGCACCGCAAACAATGGCGTTGGCCAGCCCGCATCCAGCCAGGTCGTTCTGCACGTCCTTTGTAAGTAGCACACACACACACACACACACACACACACAGAGACGGCCGCCACAAGCGCCGCTGCACAACAAATTAATTTCAGCTCCAATTGCTAGACACTTCAATTTATTTGTGAACTGATTTCAAATGGTTATTGGCCAGAGAGGCGAGCGACGAGCGACGAGCGACGAGAGGCGTGGCCGAGTTGCCAATTATGGAAGTGCCTCGCTCCGACTGACACTTGCTTAAAAATTTATATGCAATTTGTGCTGAAAGGCGAATGGCAAAGGTCATTGGAGCAACGCGAGCCAGGCAGCTAATTATACGCAGCCACGCCCCAAGCGCCCTCAATGCGATTTCTATTTTTAATTTCACTTCTTGTGTTGCGTTCATGTTGTTTATTAATTTTCTTACAATAAATAAACACACATACAAATAAACAAATATGTATATATGTATATATATATTTACAGATCCGCCTGAAATCTCCGTGGAGCGCCCCGTTGTCTTCTCGGGCGAGGGGCACGAGGCGATGCTGGTCTGCATCGTGCATGGCGAAACACAGCCTGAGGTATGTTTTAATTAAATTTGCCGCATAAATTTTCATTTACGCGCTGGCGCTCACTTGGACATAAAACAGCACAATTTACCACAAAACCCATTAATATATATACATATATACATACGTACACCCACGCGTGCATATACTAATTTGCAGCACTGTGCTGCCAGCTGAACAATCGAAGCAAAGCCGCAACATTGAAAAATATTCTAGCATACTTTTTGGGGCATCTGTCTTATATGTATGTATGTAGCTTTAATCTTCAAGCGCCGCAGCAATTGTATCTCAAATTTGTTTTTGTTCCGACGGCCGTCGAAATGGAAAACTGACAATAACAACAACAACAGCAGCAGCAACAACGACAGCTGCCAGCACATTAATTAAAAGTCTGCAAAAGGCAAATTGAAGTGCCGCACAAAGCATAATTTTAATCAAACATGCAACGCATGCACCTCTTCCACACACAAAAAAGTGACAGTGTCAAAAATAGAGTAAGCAGAGCAAGAGCAAGAGCAAGAGACAGACGGAAAGAGAGAGGGAGCGAAAAAAAATAACACTTCTTGTCAAATTGTGTGGAAATGTGCAAGTGGAAATACCCCTTAGCTGGGAAATATATTCGATTTGCTGAATTTTCGGCAGTAGCTTAAAGAGAATATACAGCAGACGAATGTTGATTGAGGTTGAAGTAGATGAAGCAGAGCTTAGATATAAAACATGGCAGACTTTAGAGTAGCACATGAACTGCTTATCTACTGTTATCTTATATAAGTATGAGTAAAAATTATCTTGATTATAAATGCCCTAAGAGCATATTGACTTCAGCTGAACTTGAACTTAGATATGAAAGCATAGACTTGCATGATATATGTATATACGTAAAATCAATTTCATATAACTAGAGACGATTCTGTTGCAATGCATATGCAGTTATGTATCTGATTTAAATTGTAAGCAGCACATATTCCGTCTACTGTCCGTCATCTGTAGATACACACATAGAAATGTCTATATGTCTGTCATCTATGTCTATCTGCCTATCTACATATATGTCACTCTGGCTGTCATGTATTCTTTAGCACTTGTCATATTACGTCTATCGCCTATCGTAAGTCTTTTTCTCTCTGCTATCATCTCTCAATTTGCACATTTTTTTCTTCTGCCTATTTACTCATTTGTCTGTCTGTTGGTCTATCTATTGCCTGTCTGTCGTCTGTATGTCTAAGTGTTTGGCTCCCTTCTTTCTGCTTTCTATCTTTTATGAGTATCTTCGATACTCTATAATCAAGTATCATATACATAGGCTATTGACTATGTATGTATACAGTCTAAATTCTCTGTGTGAGTGCCCAAATATTTACCTTTTTCTATCCGTCTGCCATATTTCTGTCTCAGCTCTGTGTTATTTGCCCTATGTCTATTTTTCTCTCAATCTCCTCAATATTATCAAGTTGAAGACCAAAAGACTCGCCATTTTAACTGAATCCCTAGCTAAGCTCAAGTAGAGCTCACCCAAACTTTTCTTAGATGTGCATTGCATTTTTGAACAATTAAAAAAAAAAACGTTATTAATTCTTTCACAATTTTCAATAAACTAAAAACAGATAAAACATTTACACTACAAATTACATGTATTTACTACAAATTAAATGAATTAAATTAAAAAAAAACAAAACTTTTAAATGCAAAAAATTCGTTGCTTACGACAAATAGGTATATATGCAAAACCTAGTGAAAAAACTGGCAAAGGAACCCAGAGACATCTGAAACATTTCACACATCTGCACTCTATGGCATGCTCGAAATGCGCCCATTTTTTATTTTTTTTATTTTTAATCTGCGGCACATTTCGTCAAAGGGAATTATAATACCCTCTAAAAGGGTATTATAAAGCAACAGAAATATGCTCGTCTGGATATGTTAACAGAGAAGACTATATATATGTATAAACGTGTATGTATGTGTGTATGCATATTTACGCTGCTGGCCAATTCGTTCTTTTTATATATATTTTTTTTATAGAGAAGTATTTATATTTTTTGTGCTGTTCGCCTTTGCCGACATTTAAATTAATGCGCTTGGCTATAATTCAAAGTAAAATTGCGGAAGTTGCCAAAGCGGAAGTGTGAAGGGAGAGAATGCCAACAAGAAGAAGACGCAAAAAAATGCCAAGCTGAGCATGTAAAAAATGCCATCACAGTGCGAGTGAGAGAGGGAGACTGAGAGACTGAGTGAGAGAGAGAGAGAGTGGGCTATATAATGACTGGAGACCGCAAATGTCAATGCTTAAAATTATACAGCCTCGGTTCGCCTCACATAGCTGAGCGAATGACTGACCAAGCTCTATGAACTGCCCACTCCAGGGAGCCTCAGCTAGAGCCAGCTCCGGCGCCTGCCTTCATCCGGCCGTTGTTCTAGGAATTTTGGGGGCGTTGCATTACGTTTTTATGCTATTTAATTTTTCACAATTTTTTTTTTTTTTTAGCTATTTTTCCAGCCACAAAAGAGTTGACTTCGCGCTTTCCCAGTAAAAGCGCCAACTACTTATTTACTTTTCCCTCTCTCTCTCTCTCTCTCTCTCTGTTTTTTGCTGTTGCCGTCCTTTGTTTGTGCTGCTGGACACATTTCATTATACAACGACAAGTTGCCCGCCGTCCGGCTCGATTTGCAGATGGACATGGCATTTGTAGTCTTTGAGAATGGCATTTCCGCATGCAATTTTTACTAGCTGCCAGTTCGCTTCTCTCCCTCCCTTCCTCTCTCTCTCTCTCATTCTTTGGCTGTTTTATGACTCCAGTTGAATGTATAGAATTTAACGCTTCGCTCATGCCACACGCTAACGAGGCCCCTTCCACCGCGCAACTTGCAGCTGGCAACTTGCAACTTACAACTTGCAACAGCTCACAGCGTGTGCCTGCATTTCAAAAACCTAACCCGAAATGCCCGCCGCCCTGCTTCCATCAGGGTATTCTGTTGCCTCGCAGCTAAACAGGGCGCATCGAAAAGTTCTTAAACTCGGGCACATCAGAGTTGCATAAGAATTAATTAACCTTTCATTTGTAGTTTGTATAACAGCAATTGTTTAAGGTATTCCAAATGGGGAAATAATAAGAGGTTACTTTAAGCAAAAATATGCATTTGCTTTTCTTTCCATTCAAAAAGGCTTTGTGATAGAAGAGGCCAACGAATATATGAGAGATTGATCCGATATGAGAATCTGATCCGAGAAGTTCTATTGGCATACGGCATCAGAAGAGTCAAGAGAAAATTGAAAAAGAGTAAGTGAATAGGAGACTGAAGTATGCCCTAGGGTTGCCTATAAATCAATAAGTCTCAGCGTAAATATTTTTATTATATACATATATGTAAATTCCTGAAGAGAAGCATTCCATAACTTATATTCGTACTCTATCTAGACTATTAAATTCCAAATGCTATTGGTCTAAACTTTGTTGGTCTGTGTAGCCGTAAATAAGAAAATAGTAGAGATTATTAATAATATCATAAATAATCCATGTTTATTCCTAGCCTAAAGAAAAAGGAGAGGTGTATATGTGTGTGTGTGTGTGCATATATAACCAGGAAATGTGTGTGTATATGAATCAAAGACAATGCTTGACAATTGGCTTAGCAATAAATACTCTACATTATGCACATATCTAGAGAGTATATACGGCTAACTACGATACATAGACCTAGATAATTTGCATGCAAATTGTGAAGTGAACAAGGAGAAATCTAATTTATATTGTATTCATGATTTGTCTTGCATTTCATTTTTAATTAACTCGGAATATTTGTGGCTAATCAGGAAGGCGACTCTAATGCTGCAGCTGATCGAATTGGATATTAATTTGCAAAGAATGCAAATGTGCTTGATGAATTGATGAATTGCCGCATTGTTGGGCGTACGAATATGCCCTGATTGATATTGATTGATGCTGGCTGGCGCATTTTTAATTATGTTTTTGACAATGGCTCGCCGCAACAATAAGCCAACTGCGGCAAAGTTGCCGAGGTGCGGCATGCATGCCGCATGCTAATGCCGCTGCCATTGAGAGCTATTAATAATTAAGCTTTAAAGGACAAACACACCTGCAATGTGAGTGTGTGTGTGTGTGTGTGCGTGTGTGAGAGTGTGAGTGGCACTTACATGTGTGCATATTTGCATATTAATTAGGAACGGCGGCACAGGCTGTGGCAGATTCATAATCCATTGATATATATATATATATAATGTTGATTTGTTGCATAATGAATACCATAAACAGGCAGCCGGCGACCCCGGCCCCCCGCTGAGTGGCAGCTGGCGAGGCAACATTGTCATTAGAGCAATTGTCATTAACATGATGAGCGACAGCAATGAGACAACATCATTATCATTGCGAGAGGCGAGCGCATTGCCGTTGTCATCGTTGTCATCGTTGTCATCGATGTCATCGATGTCGTTGGCAGGCGCATTAAACATGCAGCCGCATTTGACACAGCTATCAACAGCTAACAACCATTAACGGGTGTTGCCCGTACAGACCGACCTATCTCCACTCTCCAGCTCCAGCTCCTGCTGCAGTTGCAGTCGCAGCTTCAGGGCGCCATGCAGCTTAATGCGCTCTGTCATCGCGCTGGCCGGGACGGCCTGGGTCGTTGTCATTGCTTTTAATTATTTTCCAAATTAATTTTCAAATTGGTAAATTTCTTCCCATTTGACACAGACACACACACATGCACATGCACATACGCATATCACATTTTGATAGAACTGCGCGCGCTCTCTCTCTCTCTCTCTCCCTCTTTTCAGGCCTAATGAGTTTTTATGCTGTCAGCGTGTGTGTGTGTGTATGTGCTTGTGTGTGCGTCTGACACAGTAATTGACTGCAAGTTTTGCCTAGTTATAAAACAGTTACGCCCTCGGCGTCTGCTCGCTCGCATATTGTCATCCGGAATTGGGCGTATTTCGAGTGCCGATGTCAAGCACTTAATTATCCTGATTTTATTAGGTTTAACTATGCATT